AAATTATCACATTACTTCAAAAAATAAAGACATCATTGTTAGATAATTCAATTACTATAACACATATGTTTAAAAGAGTAATTAAAGATTTATGATACTTCTCCATAACACATGTGCCTACAAACATGGTGTACATATAAAGGTAGTAGTGAAATGTCTGAGGGGTCTGTCATAAATCTATCGGGCACAACAACATGAGGTACATCATGGGATTCTTGGGAAACAAAGCCTTCATAATGAGTTAGAGACACATGAATTCAGGAAGGTGACGCCAGAGAGAAATGCACCTAGAAAGACGATGCTTCAACATCAAATGAAGTTTCTCCAACTACGGGTCGTGAGAGTCTAGCTTTATTCTTGCAAAAGAAAGCATGTTTGACCACTCTACTATGTCTCATTCTTTCTTGGTTGTTAGACATTTTCCTATGATAAAACAAGAAAAATAATATCATAATGAAAGAAAGTATTGTCAAATCGAACCAAAAAAATAGAATGTATAACAGGTAAATTTGGATTTTGTTATCCAGGCCGAAGGTTCGGATTTCAAAATCTGGACTGAACGAAATCAGAATAGATGAAGCAGAAGCTAAGATTTTGAACCCTAAGCCACAATGATTAACATTTTTTAAACCAAAACTCTGAAGTACAAAACAAATATAACATATCTATTGCATGTAACCTAGTGTATCATACCTATAACCTATTTAGGTAATGCATGCATCTCAAATAAAAGTAAGGAAATGAGAAACTTATCAAACATGAGAGGTGAATGATATTGAATTGAATGTAGTGGAGTAGAATTTGAGAGATGTGATAAGCTTGAATGCATTGGATTAAAAGTTGTAAGAAAGCTTCAAAAAAGCTAGAACAAGAGTATGCTCAAGAGTTGTGTTTGCTCTGTTTTGTTAACTTTGTTGAAATGAAAAAGGACGAGGGATAGGAAGCTATGAGCGCAAATAATTAAATAGAAGCGTCCAAATTTCAATCCACTAATTTTGAATATTGAAATCCTATTTTTTTAAAATATGTTTTTGTGTGGTTATGAGATTGTGCATATGTGTGATGTTTTGAAGTGTGTATGAAGTTCAATCTCCGTAACTTATTAATTTAGATTCTAAATTCAGACTCTTTTTTAATATTTTTATTTGGCGTATTTGAGAGAGTTTGTTATGTATTTGATGCATCCGGATTTTTAAATTAAAATTTTAAGAATATTTTTGGAATTTTGTCGGGATGTGTGAGTAAATCATGTGATGTAATAAAATTTCTCATATTCTTTCACACTTAGTACTATTGAGCTTAGTATGTTATATAAATGGTGTGTGATTTAATAGAGAAAACATAATACGAATTTTACTTATTGTATTTGATATCCTCTCACATCATTGTCATAGGTCGACACATTTTATTTGTAACCCCGAAGCAATAGTTATTTGTCCCCCTTTCATTTGAAACATGTTCTTAAAATGATTTCATAAATTTATTTTTTATTTCTCATTTCTAAGACCAGCTTCAAATTATCTTTAACATTTTTCTTTGAAGAGTCAATTTTACAAAATTGTTTGAAAAATATTGTTTCAAAATAGGATGTGAAATGTATTAAAAAAGCGAGTGTATGTAAAATCATCCGAACACAGTTTCAAATAGGGGTTGCTTATTGCACTTGTACTAATTTTCAAATTTTATGAAAATATAAAAATACCCTTTTGCATAGTACGAAGGTTGAAATCCAAATAACACAAATCCAACAAATTTTTTCATCAGAAACACACCCAAAAAAAATAAACATTTTTCTAGATATCGAAATTCAAATGCACCCTTCGACAATTGAAATCCAGACACACCTTTTAGAATTCAAATAGTCACGATTTCTACATAGCCATGTATTAAACCCATACACTCATGATCATAACACATGTTTCCTTAAACCTTTCATAAAACTTTATTGCATTCTTATTCAAGATTTTCGCTTGTAAAAACAATTCTATTATATTTTGACATCGAATGGTGTAAAATCATTTGAAATTATAAGTAATGTACATGTCTATCCCCGATGATAATTGAAATAATGAGTTTTTTTTTTTCTGTAACATGAACGCAGTTCACAAATTGTAATATGATCCTTGAAGGATTGGTTCAGAGATTGAACTCTGGATCCTTTGAATATGAATTGAAATTGTCTTATTTTTTATTAGTTGTAGCTATGGTGCATTATGATGTTGTCAAAAAAGCTACTGCATCTAAGGATGGTGACTCAAAATATCACCACAAGATGTTGTACATGTTGATATTGGAAAATAATTTACCAATAAATAAGAGTTTACTTTACGTGAACATATACTTCAATGGGTTCACACGAAGGCTGCGAAATTAGGATTTGAAATTGTTATAGAGAGGTAGGATTCTAGTTCTGATAGAAGACACAAATTTGTTACGACAGGATGTGAAAGAAATGGTCATTATAAATAATCTATCTGAAATTTGAAACATGATGACACCAGAACAAGAAAATGTGAATGTTGTTTTAAGTTGCACTGGTACCATAATTAGAATAATACATGGACATACATTATGATTTATGGTATACATAATCATGGATTGTGTCACAAGTTATATGGTCATCTAATTGTCTTTCGTCTGAATTCTGAAGAGAAGGAACTTGTTTTTGACATGATATTTCAGACATGACATTAAACATGGCTAAGTCCAAAAAAAATCTTGCAACTTTGAAAAAAAAAACTGAAAGTGTCTCAAATATTAAATAAGTATATAATATTTTTCATTGAAACAACAAGACGATAAGAGATCCAAGAGGATGTAAAAAACATCAGAGATATAATTTCGACTCATTTTGATTCCATCAAGTTGTTCAACATATTTTTCATAGTACTGATGATTAATTCAACATATAAGACCAACAAGTACGTGTTTCCTCTTCTGAAAATTGTAGATGTTATTTCTATAGAAATGACTTATTCAATTGACTTTGCATTTTTGGAATGTGAAAAAGAGGATAATCTTATATGAGATCTGTAAATGTGTCGGAATATGCGGAAAGACCCCAAAAACTTGCCACAGGTTATTATCACTGATCACGATACCACATTGGTGAATTCAGTTCTAAAGATATTTCCTACATCATATGCTTTACTACGTGTACTGATGATTAATTCAACATATAAGACCAAAAAGTACGTGTTTTCTCTTTTGAAAATTGTAGATGTTATTTCTATAGAAATGACTTATTCAATTGACTTTGCGTTTTTGGAATGTGAAAAAGAGGATAATCTTATATGAGATCTGTAAATGTGTCGGAATATGCTGAAAGACTCCAAAAACTTGCCACAGGTTATTATCACTGATCACGATACCACATTGGTGAATTTAGTTGTAAAGATATTTCCTACATCATATGCTTTACTACGTAGGCATCATATAACAAAATATGTGAGGTAGACTTAAACCTGTGGTAAGAACCAAACAAATCAACGGTAAAGATAAAAAAATGGTTACACCTACATATAATGCCTGATCGATGTCTAAAATGTCATAATCAATTCTACTACGTAAGAGTTATATATCGAATTTGTCATAGAATTTAAAATGATGTGTGTAAAATATCTGAATTTCTTAAACTGTATTAAAAGCATGATATTAAACCAGGTGAAAGAAAAAATAGTTTATTGACTCATCAAATTAGATACACTTTAGAAATACTGCAACTAATAGAATTGAATATGCTTATGCTACATTGAGGAACTAGTTGAGAAAAAGTCAGGGTAATTTCTGTAAGGGTTGGAAATCAGTAAACCAAATGATTCAAAATCAGAATGTCGAGATTCATACATCATTTGGTTGCATCATCACATTATTAAAACATAAATTCAAATACAAATATATGTATTCATAGTTGGTCGGAGACTCAAAAATATATCTCGAGAGATTGAAATTTATTTATCACAAAGCTACGCGAGTAGAGAAAAGAGGTCTAGACAGCTGTGTATTTGTACACTTAGAAGAACACGACGTGGTCATCAGTGTGCTTGTTTACTTTCCAAAAAGATAAAACTTGATAAATCTATCCGTATGAATGAGGTTTACACCCACGAAAAAATGCTTCATGAGGAAGACCGTCTTGTCGTTCGTCACTTTGATGCTTGAAACATCAATCTCAGTTACCATTATATGTATTTCTATAAGATTGTTAAGTTACCATTATATGTAACTAAATTAAATAAATCGAGACTAAAATCATAAACGAGACACTTTTCTTATAATATTTTCTTATAATAAACTCATATAGAAATTCAAAATTTTATATAAAGAGAATAGATTTTTCTAATATGTTTGTCTAAATTCAAAATGCTCAATTTATAAGTCAAAAATAACACTTTCAACAACACTTTTAAATACAGTATTGTTTCGTTTAATTGTTTAAACGAACACTTTAACGTTGTATTTTGCCTATAACCTTTCAAAAGCATCCTCCACATATATTTATTTTATTTAAAATAACTTTAAAAATTTATGACCTACAACCTTTCAAAAGCATCCTCCACCTATATTTATTTTACTTAAAATATTTTTAAAAATATATCATAAATTTCATATTTTAATTTAATACTATAAATATTATCTCATAAATATGGTGAAATTTATATAGATTACTATACAAGATATTAAAATAATAATTATTAAAAAGTAAAATTTCTATAAAACAAGTTTTTTTCAATATTTGAAATAAATTTACTAAACAATTTTTTTCACAGTAGAAAAGGTAACTTATTAGATGAGAGGTCCTAATTCTTTGAACAACCAGCCATGATTTGTAAAGCTCGTAATGAAAACAGAAATATAAAACAAAGATTTTAGAAGAATCATACAAAATAGAATTACTTAAAAATATCTAGAATTTTCTTAAGATACAAGAGGTAACCGGCATTAAACGAAATTAACAAAGGTTAGGGAAGAAAGAAAATAGAGTGCATGCGAGTGCAGATTTAAGAATGCTGCGTCCCACTTATTTGCTGCTGACTATAGTCCCTAATCTCACGCGCTTTGTTTATCAAGTTCTCACGCGCTGTATCCAATTGATCAGCGCCAGGTGGTTGCTTACCGGTAACATACGTATAGATCCACGCTAACACCGTGATCGCCGCCACGCCGAATCCACCGGAAGCAAAGAATCCCAACGTCAACAGAGCTACTATGATCACCGCAGGAACCAGCACCGGACTGAATATTACAAACAGCGGTGTGATAACGGTAAGGATGATAACCGTGCAGGCTAAGACCAAACCAGAGAGGATCAAGAGAGAGCCGCCGGCGGTTATGGCGGTGGCAGCCTTAACTAGCTGAGTTGACTTGCTTGGAGGTTGTTGTTGAACAGTGGTGTTGTGTTGTTCGTTGTAGCCGCGGAGTGGTTGGTAGTGTCCTTCATCAGCCATGTTTGTTAATTGTTAGGGTTTTGAATTTGATGGATGAAAATTGAAGATTAATTGCAGTTGCATGGGTTAGATGAGAGGGTTTTGGAATTATATATGATGATTTTGGTGGAGGATTGTGTGGCAGCAATTGAAGGTCCTCAAAGGCACGTGTTGAGGTAGTTTACATGCAAGGCTTGCATGCAAAATACATTGCTCTTCTCGAGACACGTAATATAGATTTTAGTTAATACTCTCTTTTGGTCTCTCAAATATAAGGGAAAAAAACGTTTTAATGGTTTTAAATATAGTATTATCTATAATTATTAAATTTAATTTCATTATTTTAAATATATTCATTTTTTTTATAGTGTTATATTTTAAACGATTTTTAAGACAAAAAAGTATAGGTAGAATTTGAAAGAGTGTACGACTTAAATATATTTAAACTTTTTTTTAAGGGATGATTTTTTATTTATAAATTGTTTATATATGAGAGTAGAGGGAGTATTATTATATATGGGTCTTTGAAGTGAGATACTTTGACTGAATTATTTGCGGCTAAAATCTAGAAATAATAATGGATACTTATAGATAGAGAATTGTGGTGTTTATTTGGTAGATACAAATGTTATTTTCAGAATTGTAACATTGAAATTCACTTTTTATTTTCTTCAAATTTTGATAATTTAAGTACTTTTATTTTTTAGAATGTTTTGTTTATATATTATTTTCGATAATCATGCATGATGATGCAAGAAGTTTTTAGATGAAGTGAGAAATGAAATTATGAACAATTTAAAATAGTATATTATAAATTGCAATGAGCACCTTATTTATGTTCAGTTCAATTTATATTCTAAACCTTCTTGATCAACTTCATCATTGATGTGCATGATACTTTTGAACCTTTTCTTCTTTAATAATTTTTGTCTTCATCAAAATTGAACTAGATATAAGATGTATTCTTCACAATCTCCCCCTTTTGATGATGAAAAACTCTTTGAATTTCTATTTTGATAATGATTGAAAAATCTCCCCCTAAGTGTTAGATGATAGACTTTGATCTAGAGGGAGGGTATAAATAGATCACAAATTTAAAAATGAACTTTTGGCAAAAATGATTTTCAAAAGTTTATGGCACAACGAAAACAACCCAAATCAAATTGTCTAACCGAACCTATTATCGAAAAGCTCAAATATACGTAAAGTTACACAAATGGATGATAACAAACATAAATTGTTCAACAAACATTAATCACAAAAAATTAAATGTTAAGATACACGAAGAGCTTATTTCCAATGATAAAAAACAAAATAAAACACAAAGGGCAATTTGTCGAACACTTTGTATGCAATCGATAACGTTTAGAAACTTAATTTATTTTGTTGATGTTAAATCCAATAACAATCAAAGTGATTATGATTATATCAACAAAACTTAATTCAAAATGTGATCAAAAATGATTTCTAAATGAATTGATCAAGCAACAACAAATTCGATGATTTGCAAACACAAAAACTAAAGATATATATATATATATATATATATATATATATATATATATATATATATATATATATATATATATATATATATATATATATATATATATATATATATATATATATATATATATATATATATATATATATATATATATATATATATATATATATATATATATATATATATATATATATATATATATATATATATATATATATATATATATATATATATATATATATATATATATATATATATATATATATATATATATATATATATATATATATATATATATATATATATATATATATATATATATATATATATATATATATATATATATATATATATATATATATATATATATATATATATATATATATATATATATATATATATATATATATATATATATATATATATATATATATAGAGAGAGAGAGAGAGAGAGAGAGAGAGAGAGAGAGAGAGAGAGAGAAGTATTTGTTTAGGAAGTTTCCCAATCGGCCTCGCTATGGGTATGTTTGCCCTCAATTCGAATTCGAATTGAGATAGTTGTAAACCTACATACCATATATTTTATTGTTGATTCTACCACCTTAAAAACCCTTGATCAATAATTGATCAAGTCACCAACAATGTCGCTTCAATTCACCAGTTCCGGTTACTACCTTGCAAGACCTCTCATCTTAAGGTTTTCAATTGGTCAAATTAATCCCAAGCGCACTTGTTGAACCTAAGATTTACGAACACGGTCCACCGTCTCATGCTACTGCCTTACAAAGTAGCACCTTGTCCTAAGGCTTTCACTCGATTAGATCCATATTTGCGTAATCTTGTCCAAAACCTTCAAATCCTCAATGATCTTGAAGGAAAACCTCAACTTGGTTTTTTTATTTGAAACACCAACCTAATTGGACATTATCAACCCTAATATAGATGGTCACTCATTCAAAAATTGATTATGTGTAGTTTGATCGTGTGTATGCATAGAAGAGAGGCTGAGAATGACGAGTATCTTAGAAATTCTGGTTTCGTATAGGTTTTACACTAGAACCTTGCTAGAAAAAAGTGCATGTATGAGTGTATATATATATATATATATATATATATATATATATATATATATATATATATATATATATATATATATATATATATATATGTTTGAGAGATATGAAGCAAGAGAAATGCATATGGTTGGAGGAAAAATGAAATTTTTGAAAGAGAGCATCATGTACGTCGACCTATAAAAGTAATAGGTCAACATACCAAGGCAATTGGGTCGACCTGTGAAGGTCTTAGGTTGGCTTGTAGAGGTCTTGTGTCGACCTAAGTTAGTTAGCCTATGGACGGTGGGTACATGCTTTATTATTGATGTGTGGGGGTCGACTTGAGCAATTTGTGTGTCAACCTATAATGAAGCAAAAGCTTCTATAGGTCGACCTACACGCGTGCCTGTTGGCCTATCCTGTAGTGTCATCGTAAAAACTTATTTTTCAATGCATTTTCACTAAAACCTTGTTTTTAATGCTTGTATGATGTATGATCTTTTTCCAAACCATTTTAATGCTTTCTAAGGCTAAGATGCATATCTAAAATAAGAGGATATCGTTCAATATACATTAACATTTTACTATCCAATTTTGACATCATTCAAAATACATATCTTACGGAAAATATCACTCACATACTCGCCCTTTTTTATGATGGCAAAACATGAGAAAATGCGTCTTGCGACATTTGTGTCTTCATGAAGACTCCCCTTGAATATGTGCATCTAAATTCATCTTGTATACTTCTCCCCCTTTGAAAACTTAAAAATGAGAACAAGAAAACAATGAGAAGCATCTTAACTCACATACAAACCAAAGTACTCTACAGAGAAAAATTGCAAAAATAAGAACAACAACATGATATCACTCACATAGAATGATATACATATTGAACAAGAATGCCTAAACATATATACAAGCATATGAAGCAACAATAGAACATAATTATCACATTTAATGCAATATATATATATATATATATATATATATATATATATATATATATATATATATATATATATATATATATATATATATATATATATATATATATATATATATATATATATATATATATATATATATATATATATATATATATATATATATATATATATATATATATATATATATATATAACATGAAGCATGAAAGATATAATGTCATAAAAAAAACTCTTGCATTTGCTACAAAAGTGACACGATTACGTGACATATGCCTTTGGTGCTCGAAATGATGCACACACATATGTGTCGCTACTGCGAAAATCGGCGACGGCTATGACAGAAGAGTCGCCACCGTGCGTTATTTATCCCACAAAAGAGAAAGGAAACGCTCAGAGTAAACCTAACGCAAAGAGGGAAAGGAATGGTCATCGCAACCAAATCCTGGATTCGGGAGTCAGTTACGCAAGGGGAATGTATTAGCACCCCTCACGTCCGTCGTACTCGACGAGATCAATGCTTGTTTTCTATCTAAGGGTGTGTTATTCTATCTACTCTACAGGTCTGGGTTAAAAAGAAAAGAAAATGACTCGGCAAAGTATCGCACTTTATGCCTACGTATTCCCGTCTGGAACGAGAAATCAGAGTCAACGTAGTTCGCCTACCTACGGGAAAGGAGAGGAAGGTTGCTCGCTAGGATATCGCATCCTATGCCTACGTACTTTCATACAGCATGAAAGATCAGAGCAAACGTAGTTCGGGCTACGGAAGACACAAGCTTGTCTGACAGTTTTTTATCTCCTTAAGAAAGGGTTTTCCTGATTAAAGGTCCAAGCGGACAAAACAGAGTTTGAATGTTTGTTTGAGTTTTTTACGAAAGAAATGTTTTTCAGTCTGTTTGCAACTTGTACTGCACTAAAGACTTGTGATCTGAGAGTGACTACATTGCATGTCACCCTAAGGGTACCATACTAAGCAGTCAGACTATTGAAGAGTGACCCTCCAGCAACATTTTCTCAAATAGCTTAAGGCTCGTAGCGTACAGCATGCGTTATCCTTATTATTGTGTTTTTGAAGTGTTTTGAGGTGAGAAGAGACAGACCCTAAAACTATGGTTGAAAGGGGAACTAACCTAATGTTATCATGCATGGTTCACAAACCTAATGTCTATCATAATTCCCTCTTACATAGAGGAAATCAGAGATCCTAGGGGATAAACAGCAAAAGACAGCAAGCAATATAGCAAATAGTAGAATGTATGCAATGCAGCAATACCAATAAGGCAAAAGGGAAAACAATAGGCAAGAGGAGACAAGCTCCACCTCAAACCTAGAGGTCATCAAGACAATTAAACAGACAATACAGAGAAACACAAAAGACACAGAGGAGGCAGCCCAAGCAGCAGTACCAAACTCCTACAGCAAACAACAGCTCTAAACAGCAAAGTTGAATAGACAACAAAGTTGACATCAAGGGCTTCATCTTCAAGAAAGCTTCTATCTTCAACCTTCA